GCTATTTATTTAATCACTTTCACCAGAGTGTGGTGAGGGTCGCACAACAGAGCGAGGCTCCAAATTAAGTGCGCCCTATATCCCACCCATCCCACCCCAGGGGAGGACATCCATCACACAGTAATCTCGTGTGTGGGAAATTAACGTCTCCTACCCCAACCCTGCAGGAGACGGGACCTCCATTTATTCGTCCCTATCCGAGAAGACTAGAATATCTAACCATTTCTTGATGTTATAGAAAGGTAGCAAATTCTTCTCAACTATTTTTAAGACCCTGAGTGTTGGTCCGGCTGGGGCTCGAACCCTCGACCTCCCGCACAACAATCCAGCGCTCTATCTATTGAGCTAACCGGGAGGCGGTTAGCTCAATGAAAGATGCGGCGGGTGTGAGGATGGGTCAAGAGAGATTCGTGGAAAATAGGAAGGAGGGTTCAAGCTCTAAGTTTATGGGGGCGAACGAGATGGTGATACAAGAGGAGAAGTTGGCACTAGAATGCGCAGCGAAATCTTACCTTCAAAGACTGTCAGTGATTTGAAGCAGCCCTCTTTCTGATGCTAACCGTGTTACTGCAAGTAAGCAGTTTGCATTGCCAGTTCTCGCATATTTGATGTGGACCCAGCACTGGCCCGTTACAGAACTTCGATCGTCGCCCTCTACTATCCATGTTCGATCCATTGATACAGAGGCGAGGAAGATCATCTGCGAGAACGGAGAAAAGCATCCGCTAAGCTCCACGGCGATGCTGTATGTTCCTAGAGACAAGGGTGACTGCGTTCTGTTGAGCAAGAATATAAACTTACTAAAATGAAGTCTGCAATCAAGCTACATCAGAACTCCGATCCAACCATGAGGCTAGTGCAGAAGTTTGAAGAGAGAGCGATCGACGGAGAAGGGATTTACGTCGTTGATTAAGGAGGCATTCAAGTACACGGAGGAACTGGGAACAAGCTTGACTTTGAACTATCCGATTCCGTCGTGTAGCTCGCACCAAACACCCAATATTTCTATATCCGGAAAAAAAGTTAAGAGTTATTTGAGGAAGTCCGCTACCGTAAAGTTGCAGGAAGAAGTTAAGGGCGAGCTGTGGCATGAATAGTTTCTGTGCGCAAAGTCGCGCGCAGAATGAAGACCTGAGCGACGATGAGTGCTTTGCTTGGCTGCGGGACTGGAACTCAGCACCTACCCATACGATTATCAGGCTACTGGAGCTTTACGAGCAGCTCACACCCACTAGAGTATACACAGAGCTCAAAACAGGAACTTCTCAATGAGAGACCACGTGTAGGCTGTGCGGAGGCGCAACAGAAACTCTTGCGCATGTTTTAGCCGGGTGTTCTTCTTTAGCACAGTCGAAATACTTGGACCGACACAACGCTGTGCTAATGGTGCTTTTCTTTGAGGTGAAGTTAGTGAAGACCTGAAGTTAGTGGACTCAGTACCACCATGGTACTCGTTAGTAGCACCCAAACCAGTGTACGAATCTTCGGATGCTCAAGCGTACTGGGATGTACCAGTGTATGCCGACCATAGTCACGTCAAGGACAACAGAGTGGATGCCAGCTTCGTGCATCACAACAGGAAGTAAGTCTGGGGGGTGGAAATGAGTTGTCCCTGGTTAGATAACTGCGGAAAGAAGGAGAAGGAAAAGACGGAAAAATATGCCCCACTGCGATGGGAGCTTTAATGTTTTAAAGACGTTAAGGGAATATTGTAGAGACTTTTAGGGAATATTTCGTTTTAGTTTTTAGACTTAAACATAGTTATCTGTATAGACGTACGTTTCTTAAGAAGACATAGGCTACGCTTTACGTCCTATGTTCTTTTATTTATTATAGCATCTATACGTGTACACTGCATAATAATAATAATAATAATAATAATAATAATAATAATAATAATAGTATTGATAACTTACAGAGGCTAGGCACAAGAACCTCACTTTACCTCTATCGGTATATCCTCAAGGTTCCAAACTAGTCTTCTTTCAATTTTAATTGTGCCTGTTAGTTATCAATAACTTTCTTGTGAGACTTTTGTTTCACACAACAAGGCATTCCGCGCTGTAGGCCACTTTTGTCCAAAATCAGAGAAAGGTGACCAGTGTCTAAAATCGGAAATCAGCCACTAGTGTCAATAAATCGGAAATCGGCCACCAGTGTCCAAAATCAGAGCTCGGCCAATGGTGTTCAAAATCGGAAATCGGCTACTAGTGTCCAAAATCGGAAATCGGCCACCAGTGTCCAAAATCGGAGATCGGCCAATAATGTCCAAAATCAGAAATCGGCAAAAAGTGTCGAAAATCAGAAATTGGCTAATAGCGTCCAAAATTCAAACTAATTATCCCAAAATAATTAACAACTATTCACCGAAGTGGA